CCCCGCAGCTTCAGCAGGGTCGTGTCAATCCCAGCTGATTGCACAGCTCTCCCAAGTCACGGGTCAAGTACGTGTTGCAAAAAGGAGGACAAAAGCAGGCAGCGAGGCAGCGTGTTGAGGGTGAGGTCATCCTGAAAAATGTCATCCCATGAGTGCTGCAGACCGGGAGCAGGAGGCTTCGGTGGGTCATTTGTCCATGAGCTGCGGCCAGGGCAGAAGGCTGCCAAAAAAAAGCTGTGCTGCTGTCAGTTGGCTCCCCTTCAGACACAGCCTCCCCAAAATCCTCGAGAGGGTGTGCGCATACGTGCACACACGTGCTCTGATGGCTGGATGTGGCTCTGGACGGCGGTGCCAGGACGACGCTCCCCCCGCGGGCTGCAGCATCTCCACCGATCACCGTCCTGCCCCGCACGTGCTCCTCCAGCTTGGCAGCCCCAAACACATGGTTCATCCTGCGCCACGGCTGCAGAGGCTTTCCGCAAGGGGAGAGGTGGGGAAAGGCTTTTCTCCCTGGCCGGAGGTCCCTCCGGCAGCGGGATGCTTTCTGCGGAGCCTCCACCGGCTGCATCGCTGTTAAATCCCTATCCCTGCTATTAGGCAGCTTGTGGAAGGGCGTTTTTCTACATCTCTTTCATCTCACTGCTGACTATAAAAGCTGTAGGATAGTAAAGGTTTTACTCCAGAGATTTCTGCTCAGCAGCTCACCCAGCAATGCCCCTTTGCATTGCCTGTGACCAAAGCTCACAGCCGGAGGCCACCAGGACCGAGCTGGGGTCATTGCAGAAATCTGAGAGTGGAAGCCAGCAGAAGGGTGGAGATGTTCCTGCTTTTAACCCGTCTGGTCCCTGTGAACCACTTGGTACAGAGACAAAGCACTGGGAGGGCGAGTGGAGATGTCCCATGGAGTTTGCGAGGTTGAAGCAAGCCACCTCTGTGAGTTTGGGGTCTGCCGACAGTTCTGGACATGGTTGTCCTCACCTTGCCTTCTATGGAAACTCTTGCCATTCCTTAGGTATTTCCCGACATTCCTAAGCCCTGAAAGAACAGGTATAATCCGGCAGCTTTTTTCTAAGGGAGAACAAGGTTTGCCAACTCTTTCTGTGATCTGTTTTTAGCTTTCTGCGTGAGCAGCCCTTGACTCGGTCTTAGGGCAGGAGCCGAGGTTTGCCTTGTACTGGACAGACAGACACCGTGTCCCTCCAGCCCAGGGAGGAGCTTTGGCTGAGGTCTACTGCTTGTAATGCCGGGGAGCCTGTGTCCTGGCTGGACTGGCGTTGCTTCCATCCATCCATCCATCCATCCAGTCCCAGGTGTCCCTGCTTTACAGCTGCGTGTCCAGGGTCATTCTCCAGCCCAGTTAAGCTCCGTAGGTCTCATCACACACATGTTGGATTGAGACCAGGTGTCCAGCTCTGCTTTTCCCACCCGGGTACACTGGGAGCACTGGTGTCATTGGGCTCCGTGAGAGCATCAGTACCTCAGCAGAAGCGGGCTCTCGACTTCCAGTTTCAATGGTGGTTCCATTTTCTTTCCCCTGTTTTGGTGGCCCAAGCTTACCTTAAGGCCTCCTCTCGCCTGCTGGCAGAGGATGCTCGGTGGTTCAGTTCGATTTTCGTCTCGAGCCAAGCCCTCGCCTGTGTCCGCAGGGGTGCAGCGGCAGATCGTGCACTGCGTGGAGAAGCTGGCCGGCATCGTGGAGGAGCGGTACTGCGACGCGCTCACCCGCCCTGATGACCAGCAGAGGACGTGCAGCGAGGAGCCCTGCCCGGCCAGGTCCACTGGATTTCCCCTCGCTCCTCCTCAGCAAAGCTTTAATCTCCAAGCTGCCCTAAGGGGGTGACCAGAGTCGGGGGGACCTCAGTCGCTGCTGTGCCTGGACTGCACAAGGACACGTGCAGCTATTTGCACCCCTGGGTTTGCACCTCTCCTCTCCTTCGTGCTTGAGAACGGGTCCCAGACCCTGCGTCGGTCCGTGGGATCAAATCCCTGTGGTTGCCCGACCGCCTCCGCAGACCACGAGCTGCACGGGAAGGCACCATCCTGGCAGGGCCAGGAGCCCCTTTGCGCAGATAACCATCCCCGGCACAACGTGGGGACTGATCCGTCCCTGCCCTTGGGCTGGAACACAGGCCGCAGTGGGGATCCTAATTCCCCCGGGCCCCGCTGATCGTTACGGGCTGCTGAAGCCTGCGTGCATCTCGTGTGCATCTCCTGGCCCCAAACACCTCTCAGTTCGTGGTGGCTAAAACCCACCGCCCCGAGCACTCGGTGTGGTGGGGCACGGGACAGAGCCCGGCCCGTCCCGCGCCGGCTGAGACATTTTCCTTTCCGCGTTTCCCCAGGTGGTGGGTCGGCGAATGGCAGAAATGCTCGGCCACCTGCGGCCGGTCGGGGCTGATGAAGAGGACGGTGCTCTGCATCCAGAGCGTGGGGCTGGACGAGCAGAGGGCCTTGCAGCAAGCAGACTGCCAGCACCTCTCCAAGCCAGACGCCACCGCGCCCTGTCACCGGGAGGTCCCCTGTCCCTCCCAGTGGGCCATGGGGAACTGGTCCGAGGTGAGAAGGAGCGTCGGGGAGGTCCCAGTGTCTTGCAAAGCTGGCGGGAGCTGGGGGCAAGGTGCCCCAGCCATCCTCAGCCTGCCCGAGCGTGATGGGCGTGCTCCTGCTGACGGGGAGATTCATGGATGTGTTTCTGTGGGCTCGCGTTGTAACACCGTCACACGGATGGGAATTTTGTGGCACGGGGGGGTCTCAGAGCGAGGAAGGAGCACCGGGCTGTTTGACTCTGCCCCATCCTCCCTGAAGGGTGCTCCGTGCTTGATTGCAAGGAGGGCAGAAACAAGAGGTTTTCAACCCTTCAATGTATTTTCCAGCACCGCAAGCCTTCCCCTTTGTTTTGGCAGAAGCCTTAGAGGTAATTCTTGCCTGCTGAAGCAGGGTGCTAGGGGCAAGGCAGGGTCTGGATGCACCGTGCCTGTGAGTGCTGGCCGGTGGGCATCTGCTCCCCGGCAGCGTGACCTGGCGCTGGGGCGAAGCTGCCCCGACTCTGCCGCAGGGGTGGGCAGAGACCCCCGCAGCAACGCTCCCGGGGGGGGAGGCATCACAAATTTTTCAACAATTTTTTTAAAAAGAGAGGGAGAGATCAAAAAAAAACCCCATGTATAAAATGCCATGGTCTGTGGACACCCTGTGTAGCCTGTATTTATTTTTGTATTTCTGTGGATCAGCGTAACCGCAGGTTGAGGGTTTTAACCAGGAAATTATAACTCCTAATTTAAGCAGTGTTTTCAGAAAGTGTTCAGTGTGAAGACAAGTATCGGGAGAGAAATGAGAGAGCCTGGGAACTGAGCTTGTTGCTAAGAAACAAATGGAATAAAAATGCGAACAGAAAATTTGAAGGCTAAATGAGAGCTATTTAGAAATATTTTTCTAGGGGCCCACAAAAGCCACAATTGCAGGGCTGAGAAAGAAGGCTGCAGCAGTTTAAAGGGAAAATCATGAATTGCTCGCGGGTCTGTGCTGTGCGCGGAGCCAGCCCAAGCTGTCCCAGTCGTCCTCTGTGGTGCTGACATCAAAAGATCTGTGAGCCCAGGAAAAATGTGCTCGAGGTTTTGAGATATCTGTAATTTTTCTGTCCTTCTTTCACTTGAAGTGAGAGCCTTTCTTCTCCCTTTCCACCACCACCAGTAAGTAGAGAAATTTGAGGGGCTTGGAAGCTTCCCAGAAATGTGATCCTTCTGTCCAGCGACAATAATAGGGGGTTGTTGCTTTTTTTGTACTCGCAGACCCTCGGGCAGGGCAGCACGAACGCCTGTCTGGCACCGGCAGCACCCGGGCAGCCCGCGAAGCTGAAGGGATTATTTGCAGTTTGGGTAGCCCAACAAAGTGCTTAAACACTGGGACTTAGTGCCTTCAGAAGGACCCTAAAGCAGTGTATATCCAGCTCTATGGACTTCCCAAAGAAGTTATCGGTGCATTCAGAAGCTTTATTTGTGGTCTATTAGTACACGAGGGTCTGCATACAGGAGCATCTGTCTGTGCTGGCCGGAGCACGTCCCACCATCAGCCTGCTGTGATGCCTCCTGCAGCCGTGTGCTTGATGCTGAGCTCTCCTGCGAGCTCTGGGTGTCCCTCCCTGAGGCTCCTAACAGCCGTGTTTCTTATCTGTGTCCCGGAGGCTTTCCTGATAACCAAGCCTTGGCAAATAAGCCCTCTCCTTCCCCCTGAAAGAGCTTCGATACTTGGAATTTTTCTCCTGGATGGAGTTGGAGGGATTTGCTGAGAAATTTTAGCTTAAGGTGCATGCTGCAGGAATTGACCTCTGTTTCCCCTGATTTGGCCATCCCAGTAGGGTGAAGCAGCTTGCTTGCACCCCTCCTGCAGATGTTAATGTGTGGTAATGTTTTATTTCAGCAACATAATGTAGCTGGTGGAAATGCCTGGCCATGGCCATGGGGTGTTATGGATTGTCCCTCCTGCTGGGCACAGTCCTCGGGATTGCTTCTGCTCCTACGCAGGAGACAGGGAGCTGGGGAGGCTGCAGCCGGCACGGCACGGCACGGCACGGCACGGCATGGGGCCCCGGCTGCTGGGTCAGCATCTCCTCTGGACAGCCCCTGCCTGGGAGGAGACGTCCCGCAGGGTGGGCACCCACCCGGGAGCCCAGCAGGACCAGTGCGGGGAGCAGGGCTGGTCCTGACCAGGCACCAGGCCCTCGCGAGGACTGAGCAAAGAAAGGCTCAAAATACAGGAGTACGTACTGTTTGGGGAGCACATCTCCCAGCCAGCCCAGCCCAGCGGCTCTGCCTGTCCACCTTAACCTTTTAATTTCCTCGTGCTTGTGGCTGTGCATCAAACCCTTGCCTCAGCCCATCCAAATAGCAGGGCTTTCAGCAGAAATCCCCTCTGTTGGTTTGTTTGCCTTCTTGACTGTTCTCCTTGGCCGGGCTGTGTAAGGCACTTTGACGTACGTGACTAACGCTCTGTGCATCTGTCACCGCAAACTGCAGTGGCCAGTGGCTTGTGCAGCCCACATGTGATGTTACTAGCGCTATGATTTACTTATCCAGCAGAAAATTTTGCTGTCCTTCTTTCCAGCTTGTGGGTTTCTTTTATACTGAACAATCTCAAAGAGACCATTATGGTGGACGAGGGGATGTCCTCAACAAAGCTCCTTATTGACCCTTGCTTTTTCCCTACTAGGACAACACCCATCTTGTTATCCCCTGCTTCAAAAAATTCTCTTCTAGAAGAAGAGATGTAATTCATGGCGATAGGTCATAGAAGAGAGCTATTAGATCATCTTACCCAATGCCCTTCACAATGTCCATCTCCTGGGAAAATTGTTTCTGGCTGGAGTGCAGGTCAAGGATCACCGTGAGCAAAGTACCCTGTGATACCAACCCTGCACTGGGATGGTCTTTAATGGGGAGACAGCCCCGGAGGTAGACTGGGCCAGTAGTAACGCTGCTTAGCAGTGTGACCACTACCCCCTGCTCCCGACCTCTGGTACAGGGGACCCCATGCCCCAGCTGGGACTGGCACAGGAGACGTCTCGGGACCCAGGTGGGTGGTGGGAGCGTGGCAGAGCAACATGGAGCCCCTTCTCTCTGTGCCCAAAGCATCGTGGCACACGGGACGGTCAAGCACCCGCTTCCATAGCCTGGAGGGGAGCACCGGCGAGGGGCACGGGCACTGCCGCGGCACCGCTGCCGGCCCCTTCCCCGCTCCTCCTGCTGCAGCCTGCGTCGCCTGTGCTCCCATCCCTGACGTTTGCATCTCTCTTCCTTTCCCAGTGCTCCGCAACGTGTGGAAATGGGACACAGAGACGCCCTGTTTACTGCAGCAACAGCACTGGAGCCGCTTGTGACCCTGCAGAAAGACCCAGCTCGGAAACTATTTGCTCCTTGCTGCAGTGCCAGGAGAAATTAGACAACGCCAACACGGACTGGTCTGGCAGTGGGTCCTCCAGCAGAGAGATATTTAATGAAATACATTACATCCCCAGCAACCACATTGCTAAATTTAACCCCTTAATTCCAAATATTCCAGAGTCCAGTGATGTCAATATCATTACTGAGGAGGACTTCTCAGCCAGAAAGGGAAATGTCTTTGTTGACGATTTTTACTATGATTATAATTTTATCAACTTCCATGAGGATCTGTCTTACTATCCCTTCACGGAGAAGGAGACCAAAGGCGAGGAGCATAAGCCAGAGCTGAGCACCAACGACGTGGAGGGGTCCCATGAGATACCCGCTGATGTCCTGCACACCATCAAGGTGGGAGCAGGAGCAAGTGAGAACCATCTGGTGACCAGCGAAGCAAACGCTTCTGCTCCCGTGCACGGCGAAGGAGAGACGGAGCCTGGGGGTTTAGCCACGAATGACTTCCTGAGCGTGGTCCCTGAGGATGTGGGGACAGCCGCTCCCGACCACACTATCCCTCACCTCTCGGGTGAGGAGGAGAACGCAATGCTTGCGCCCCGCTCCGAGGACCTCCTGCCCACCCAGAGCACCACGAGTCACGACTCTGCAAACAGCCACGACCACCTGCCCTCGGGTGAACCCCAAGGAGCCGGGCCGACGAGGCCCGGACCTGGGCAGGATGCTCCAGCCGGCAGCCTCGCTCCCCGGGCTCCTTACCCAGCTGATCCCTCCTCGCCGCTGCCCGCTGGTGCAGCCAACACGTCCAACAGCCTGGGAGAACCGGGGAGCACCGGGGAGGGGCACATGAGCACAGAGGGGCCGGGTAACGCCGGCAGTGAGGAGCACGACATGGCCGGCTCTTCAGGGAAAGGCCATGAAGACTCAAGGGAAATGGGTCTTGTCGTCACCGGTGATGCTAACGGTGCTGCCCCCAAGACCCAGGAGCAGGAAGGGTGGGCAGAAATGCTGGAGGGGACGGCGGGCACGCACGCAGTGCCGGGGGCCGACATGCAAGCCAGGGTGGCAGATCTTTCCTTCCCCACCCTGCAGGGACCGGGGTGGGAGATGCAAAGGAGCGCTGGCAGCACCCATCCCGCTGCGGGTCCCTATCCCACGGGT